GGGGGGAGGAGAGAGAGAATGTAAGGCACATTTTGGTAACTTGCCACTATTCACAGCCACATCAGCATCAAGGACAACATGCCGAACCGTACCCCCCGGTCAATGCCATTCAGCAAAGGTCGAACGACGCCAATCGAGTACGGCACCATCCCGTGAAGACCTGGTCAGTGCCGATCGAGGACAGCATCGTCCCATAAAAATCGGGTCAGTGTCATCCCGTGAAGACCAGGTCGATGCCGACCGAGGACAACACCGGCCCGCAAGAGTCAGGATGCCATTGACCAAGTGCAACGTCGCCCCGCGAAGGCCGTGTCGGCGCCGATCGAGGACAGCATCGTCCCATAAAAATTGGGTTAGCGCCGACCAAGTACAGTGTCATCCCATGAAGACTGGGTCGGCACCGACCAAGGACAACGCCGGTCCGCAAGAGTCGGGACGGTGCCGACCAAGTACAGTGCCACCCCGTGAAGACCGGGTTAGTGCCGACCAAGGACTGCACCATCCCGTAAAGACCGAGTCAGCACCGACTAAGTACAGCACCGACAATCATAAATATGATAAGTATAACTAGTCCCATGGCGGGAGGATAAAAACCCCTCGTGGGGCCGGTAATAAGGTCGGCTCATTTTTCCACCCAATGCTAACAAGATCTTCGGAGGGGTCGAAGTCAGGAACCCCCTTCCCGACCCCGACCTGTGTGCAGGGATCGGAGATAGAGAGGCAGGCGGCCAACCAAGGGGAGCTTCCAGACTCTGAAGCTAGAGCCCAAGCCCGACCTCACTGGACGATGATCCCCGTCGCCCGTATAGCGACATGGACGATCTTGCGCACCCATGATCGAACCAAGTCGTACTGACTCCTCGGCAAATCGAGACAAGTATGGTTTGCATGTATATGTCATCACAATTAATGATTTCTTCTCCTCGGCAAATCGAGACAAGTAATAGATTAAGCAATTGATCACAATGTCACGATGAGTGGGCACGATATAGGATAAGCGTATGTGCGACTTATCATTGTTTTATGTATCTAATGCTCTTTGCATTATTTCATTATCTTAAAATTCTACCTGTTTCATGTGGTGATGGTATCTATCAAAAGAAAATATGTATTGCTTTATCCGAGGAAAGCAACTAATCTAAAAAAAACACAATAGGTAACTTAATCGGATCAATCATTCCTTCAATTGTTGGGCCTAAAAACTCAATAATAATTAATAAAATAAAAAAAGAATAAAATTATTCCATCACCTGGAATACATTATCCTAAGAAATTATTCCGTTCCTCAAAGATTGGATCGGGATTCAGCATTCGGAACATGAAGATAGGTAGCAAAATCAAAGAACATAGTATGAAAAAAATAAAGAGAAGATTATTTTTCATATCAAACCAAAAAACAGATCTTCTCTTTATATACATTAGGATAGTAATGATCATAACGGTTGTGTATAATTAATTATAGTCAATAAAAACCATTAATACATCAAATAAATAAAGAAAAAAAATAACCGACACCATTCAATAAATAAAAGATTAAAAAAATAACTAACGATTAAGAACTATCACTTACTTGACGGGATGTCTGTACACCATAGAGAACCTTAGAGCATGGATAAGCCTCTCCTTCTTCAGTTGCCACACTCCATATGCGTTGAAGGTAGGTCATGGAGACCAGCTCAGTCGGTAGATAGTCAATCCCAGAAACATTAGTTGAAGAGGGAAGGCCACCAGCTGAGATTGGTACAGGAAAAAGCTCAAGGCATTCAAAAGCTAGGGCATGACAAAGTCCTCTGGAGAGGAGGAGGACGAAGCAAGCAGGTTAGGGCAAAGGAAACAAAAATTAGGTATGACACGAATCTACTCGGTTGCGTTGGTTGGGGTGGTAACAAATGGATGGCTTGGAGCTGTTGCACTGGAAAGTGACTACTCCCCAACAACTCGATTTGAGATTATTAATATTAGATATAATAAAAATGAGAAAAGAGTTGAGGAGAATATTAATTATATTTTAAATTAATGATTCGATTTTAAGAAATAAATTAATCAAATAGATAAGAAAGCTAAGCAGGAAATGGTGTAACAATCCTAGCAATTTGCTTGCGTGGCAAAGGTTCCCCTCCCTTTAATGGGGAAACAAAATGGGTATTTGTCCCATGCAAATGACATACTTATCATTGCATACTCCAAACCGATGCAAAACCCCACAACATCATTGGATTGGATGCATCAACAAAGCTGTCACCAAAAACTCTCTCTCTCTCTCTCTCTATCTTATCTGTTACAAAAATCACTGCTTCTCAACTATTTGAGAATAAAGAATTAAACAGAATAAAGAATTATATATATAGAAATAATTTTGAAAAATAAAATTCTTTTTATAATTTTTTTCCGTGGAAGTAAACCCTTCCCCACAATCACTAATATCTAATATCTAAAATATCTTTGACTTGACAGCTAATCACTTATTATTATTATTATTTTTAATGAACTGATCCATAGATAAATCGGTTTAATTATATTATTTTGTACTATATTAAAATGTTTTCAATAATAAAAAATTACTATGATGATGTGGTGTTTGTTTTTTATAATTATATATATATATATATATATATATATATATAGAGAGAGAGAGAGAGAGAGAGAGAGAGAGAGGTGCACTGTAGTCTCAGTTGTGGGTTTCCCCATTTGACCCCTCCCAATTGCCACAAAACATTCCTTTCCATCAACCCTTTCCATCACCGCTCTCTGCCAACCCATCTTTCCTTTTGGTTCCTCCTGTCATAGCCCCCCTTCTACTTCTCTCTCCGTTGTCTCCTGCCTCATGGAGATGGGGTGAGGAGGGGCCTCGAGCATGTCGGTTTCCCCTCTGCCTTCCTCTTTCTTGTTAGCTGCTTCGAGGAAGGCAGTGCACAAGGTTGCTGTTTGTGAGGGCTGAGCTCAGTTACTGGGTCGAAGCATTCTTGCAGCATGACAGTTGAGGAGAGGAAGGGGCACTTGATGCGAGAGGAAGGTGGACAGAATGATCGGTTCCCTGTCGGAATGCGTGTCCTCGCCGTGGACGACGATCCCACTTGCCTCAGGGTGTTAGAGGCTCTGCTGCTTCGATGCCGATATCATGGTTTGCATCCCTCGCTCAATTTTCTTCAGCACTGTCTTCCACATCATAAAGTCGTGTCCTTTTTCTCCTTGGAAAGGAGCTCGATTGATGATTGATCCATCATTCCCTCATGTTATGTATGTTCTGTTTCTACTGTTTCTTAGTGTAATCGGTAGGGGTAAAAGCTGAATCCGTTGATTTACTTAAGGAAGGGTTTAATGTCGACGTTTTTGTGCCAGTTACGACGACGAATCAGGCTACTGTGGCTCTGAAGTTGCTGAGGGAGAACAGGGACAAATTTGATCTGGTTATCAGTGATGTCCATATGCCAGACATGGATGGCTTCAAGCTTTTAGAACTGGTGGGCCTTGAGATGGACCTTCCTGTCATAAGTAAGCCTAGGATGCTAATCTAAACTTCACCATCAATTTGTGCATTTTCTAGTCTTCTATGGATATTTGCCTTTCCTTGTTCTCCATGATTAGGAAGAAGCATTTGGGTTGTATCTTTGATTCTGCAAAGCCTTCGGCAGTGGGAAAAAAGGGGTTGAAGTTGCTTTCATTCAAAAACTTGCCAGACGTCTTCAGCTTTGTTTGACATTTTCAATTACGAAACTATTTATCACTATTATTTGTTGTGACATTTGCAAGAAAACACCCACTTTGTAGTCTTGCTATTCACAACAACTGAGGTGAAAAAGGAAAAGAATGGATAACACATGTATGGTTGTTTTAGCATCATCTGAGTCATGACCTTTGGCAATTAGTGTTTCTGTTAGTTTTACATAATAATTGAACTCCAGACTGTTAATGCAAGAAAAAAAAATTCAATGTAGTGCTTTCGGTGAATGGTGAGACCAAAACGGTGATGAAAGGCATAGCACATGGTGCTTGCGACTACCTTCTGAAACCTGTTCGGATCGAGGAGCTGAAGAATATATGGCAGCATGTAGTTAGGAGGAGGAAGTTCAGTCACAAAGATTATAGTAATTTTGATAATGGGGAGGAGTCTGAGAGGCACCAAATCGTCAGCAGTGAAGGAGGGCAAGATCTGAACGTCAGTGGGTCAGCCAATCAAAATGGGAAGCTAAGCAGGAAGCGGAAGGACCAAAATGAGGAAGATGAAGATGATTGTGAGGAGAATGTCCATGAGAATGAAGACTTAACCACTCAGAAAAAGCCAAGGGTTGTTTGGTCTATTGACCTACACCGGAAGTTCGTAGCTGCTGTTAACCAGTTGGGAATTGACAGTAAGAATTTCTTTTTAACAAAAAAAGCCTTTCTTTCTGGAATCTACTTGAATTTTACACACACTATGGATACCACTGCATTATGTTATTGTGGCTTTTTCTGATGCAGAGGCTGTGCCTAAGAGGATACTTGAGCTCATGAATGTTGAGAGGCTCACAAGAGAAAATGTTGCAAGCCATCTACAGGCATGACATTAATTGTCTGTTTTTCTTTCCATTTTTGATGAAACTTGTATGCTAGACTAGAGGAGTTACTGATTTACTAAAATTTACTGAAATTCTTGCTCTTATATATAGAAAAAAGATATAGATAGTTGCCACAATGATCCCTTCAGATAATGGCAAACCGATCAAAGGTTCCACATATGATCATGTCCTGAAAAAGGACAAATTTTCTGACTCAGTTGTCAGTTCTTTATTTGAAAGAGTGTGAATTCTTGAAGTACTCTGACAGTCCTGCTTGATTTCTTGCCTCTTTGTGATTTCTTGAAGTGCTCTGAGTTCATGTTCTCATTGCAGAAGTATAGGCTTTACCTGAAAAGACTCAGTACTGTGGCAAGCCAACAAGCTAACATGGTTGCTACTTTTGGAGGTAGTGACCCCTCCTATCTACACATGAGTTCATTGGACGGATTTGGGAGCTTGCATGTGTTGGCTGCTTCAGGCCATTTGCCAGCCCTTACATCACTCCAATCAAGTAAAGTGCTTGATAGAGCAATTACGGGTGGCTTGGGAAATCATGGATTTACTTCTTCCAGAATAGTTCAAGTTGGGCATAACAACACAAGCACTCCTTGCAATGATTTAAACAGATTTCAACATATCAATCTTCCTGGCAACCAACATGGCAGTTTATTGCAGGGGATTCCCACATCATTGGAACTGGAGCAACTGCAGCCTAGAAGAATTCAGGAAGCAAACAGTCAGTTTCCTGGAGGTTTCTCTGACAATAAACTAGCTACTGCTACACCCGGCAGCTCTTTTGTCAATGGGACAAACAGCAGTTTTATATCACAAACACTTCAGCAGCAGGCACATCCCAGGAGATTTATCAATCACTCTTCGATTAGAGCAACACCTATAAGCACACACCCTTTCCATGTGGGTTCTGAATGTTCCTCACGTTTTCCTGATCTTGGTAGATGCAAAGACACCGGGAAATGTGCTGTTCCGTTGACTGCTTATGCCACCAATACTTCATCAATGGGTTCCTTTACTACTGATGATGAGTCACAAAGAGACAACAACATTCCAACTATTTCTTCCACTAGTTTTATGACGGCACCTCCACGGGACCCTTCGAAAGGAAGAGATAGACAATGCCAAGCTAACTCTTCTATCGCGAGGACAATGCTATTGGCAACAACTATGGATAGAGAGATGAAATTTGTCAATTTCAGCAGTGCAGGCAACTCTAAAGAGAGACTAGAGCCAAAAGATGTTTACATAGATGAAAATGATGTCACGATTAGTTCTTTCTCAAGTTCTACTGTGTCCAATAATTTCATGATCGATCCATTTTCTGGGAATCAAATAATGAACAACAGCCATTATAACAAAAGAATGGATAAAAATATCATTTCCCTTACAACTGCTAGTTCATCAATTCTTCGAGAAAATTTCAAGATTGATGATTCAATTGTTGATGATCCACAGAAGGACAAGTACGATTTGGAGATAACAAAGTTGCAGGGAGGAATAGTCTTAGGTGGTTGCAATCTTGATGATCTTGTTAATTCTTCCATGATCAAACCAGTAAGGCCTTTTATTCATTTATTTACAGCTTTGCTTGTCTAAATTTACTTTCCATCAAAAGTTCATGATTCTAATTATTAGTGATGCTTATTTATCATTCAATATCTGGTTACAAGGATAACCTGGAAAGCTACTCGATGAAAGGCTTTATTTTGTAAACAAATAACCTGTTGTTAATTTAGAATAAACTTGAACATTATCAAGCGGGCCCCTGTTCACTGTACTTCTTTGATTATGTACAG